AGGAATGGATGAGAAGTGGCCTTCAAGGAACCACTCATGCCATCAAAAATGCTGCGGGTTTCTTGACACTTACCAGTCTAGTTTGGTACAACTTCTCCCTGTGGATGGCTCGGTGCCTACTACATGGTGTTAGCTGCTCAACAGAGATCAAGGCCTACCTGAACAAGAGTCTCCCAGGAAGAATTTAAAACATCCTGTTGCTGTGGAGCTATGGGACAGTAGTTTATTTTCTTCACTCCAGGAAAGAGTCTGTCCCAGCTGCCCCGCTGCCTTAAGACTAGTGGGAAAAGTTGAGTCAAACCCTTCTGCCTTCCCATCAAGTTGCTTGGGCAATTCACACACCACATGGACTTCACAAAGGACAGAAAAGGGGCCCAGACATATGGACTCTACAGCCAATATGAGGTCTTCTTTCCACTTTACTTCCCTCAAGGTGCGAGGCACAAACTCTAAACCTGTATAAAAATACCCTTCCTACCTCTGAACACCAAGTAAAAGTCTTTCAACTGTTTTTCTTCCAGATTACTTCAAAACAGCTAAACCAATCAGTGGGAGAAGAGCCACACAGGTGGACCTTAGGTTCCTCCTCCAACAATATGGTCATAGATAACAACATGGAGATACTGATTTGTTTCAATAGGCGTCCGTGTTGTGTTGTCTCCTGGGTAGGCCTGAAACACAGAATATTACCCAGTCAGGAGAGAGGAAATACGTGGCGTTGAACTCAGTGAATTTTCTTCTTCCCTTGGAACATCAAGTTTGACAAATGCAACTAGCTCGGAGGGTGGGGGTTTGTCAGGGAAGATAAATACCCTGGCAGCAGGCACTTTGATTCTCCGGCCATACGTGTGGCAGGTGCAAAGACAGGGAGTTCTTTTAGCTAAACACAAGTAGGAACAAGCAGACCAGCCACCAGTCAAACAGAAGGCCCACTGGCAAAGATCAGGCAGCTGGTACTAAGTCTGTTCAAGCTGAACCCCATGAGAGAGAACTCATGCTGATTACAGTGTGGCCCCTAGCAAGCACGTCTCAGGAGTTAGTTCTCTATCAGTGAGTGTTAGAGAAAGGCCAAAGCCAGATGAATTTCATGGGCACTCTCAGGCCTGTGCCCTGCAACCTGCTTGGGGACACAATGTACTCACATAAACACTTCTTGGTGTGGCTCCTGGCATGAGACCAGCTTTCACGTAGACACTAAAGAGCTGGTTATTTGTTACAGATGTTCTGCAGCTGCAGGAAGTTGGACTGGTGGCCCACTTTCCATGCAACCAAACACATTTTGAGGCCTGCATTTTTGAATCTCTAACTAACCAACACACTTATTTTGAAACACATATAATTTGATATTTGGTCCTGTTACTATTCATATGTGACCATCTTTTCATGGGAAGCACATCAAAGAAACCATCATCCTAGATCAGCTCTGTAGAAACCCAAACAAATTATTGCCCAGCTTAGTTCATGTTGGTTTTGAGAGTAACCAAAGCCTGGGTGTGTTTGTCACATCCAATCTATAGTCCAAGGAGTTCAGTTGTGAAGTTTAAAAGTGTGGTTGGCACTAGAGGAACAGGGTTTCTTACAGAGGGAAGCTGTGTTATTACCCATTCAGCTCTCAACATGAAAGATAAAAACACCCATGGCAATTTAATCAGCTTTCAACTATGGCTGAAAATGGGATGTCTGGGTATGACTCGGGCATTTGTTTTGTTTGGATTCAGCTGCTATGTAAATAAACAGTAGAGACCAATCCATTCAGCAATAACAAGGTCAGAGCCATTTCCAGGTGAAAACAAAGCATATGCATGTGCTGTCAGTCATCTGTGAGACACAAGAGTGTACAATGTCCATCCATTTTACAGCACTACTGAAGCACAAGTATTTTCCTTTCTTTTGCTCAGTTCTAAGTCCTTCTGAACCATATGCTGTGTGCTGGAGAAACACAACTCACCACAAGAAGATGCATCTAGTGTAAAATTTCTCTTTTTGTGAGGGACAGGGTTTAAAATCCAAGTTTGACCCTCACGCCAGGGACAAGCTAAATCTGCCACAAGTACTAATTGACCTTAATGGGGCTGCTTTCCATAGGACTTCTCAACTCTTTTGTATTAAGGAGAAAAAATAAGGATCCTGTGCAGTTGGGAAAGGAATTCTGCCAGTTCCAGTTCACCACTGCTGGCATAGAAGATGGCCCATGCTTCAGAGGCAGGAACTGATTCTGCTTTCTGGAATTGCTGGCGTTCAGCAAGTCCTGCCAGGATTTGGGATCTTACAGTTCCTGCAAGTTGCAGCTTTTGTTTCAAACTAGCCTCGTACCTATTCGTTTTTATCCAAGCTTTATTTATTTTTATCCACCTGCAGACATGTTTCATAATAGAGATTTGATTTTTAAGAATCATATCATAAAAATATGGAATGGTTTGGGTTGGAAGGGACCTTCAAGATCATCGAGTTCCAACCCCCCTGCATGGGCAGGGACACCTCCCACCAGCCCAGGTTGCTCCAAGCCCCATCCAATGTGCCCTTGAACTCTTCCAGGGAGGAGGCAGACGAGATGAATACAGGAACTCCCAGCCCTGGGATGTGTCACCAACATTTTAATAGTTTTTCCTTTTAGCTAGAGGCACATGTGTCATCCTCCAAGTAAAACCCAGTGTCTTTCCACACCAGATGTACCTGCTTATACAGTCCCATGCTCACACCTTCCACTCAGCCCTGCTTTCTTCCTCAGCCCGTTTCCTCTCCCATGTTTCCCTTTCCTGAGCATGTTGTAATACAGTTACTAGGCCAGAGCACAACCCTGCAGCCTATCCTGGCAGTAATGGCAACAGTTTCTCATTCTGGTTGGAAGGAAAAAGGGGAGGGAAAAGGGCAGGGTATAGGAGAAACCCTGCTTTGGCAATCTTTCAGTTTTATCAGTCAGTTCAACTTTTGATTTTTGTCATCCCATGGGAAAGGCCTGGACACTCTTAGTCATAACCAAGGTAGGCTGAGTTTATCTGACAGGGCCCAGAGCAGCTGTGGTAAAAGGAAAACAGCATGTCTGAGTAAGCCTGAAATATTAGACATGTATTGATAAAGACACTATTTGCAGTCAGACTCAACAGTTAAGCAGACAAACTCCATTGCATAAAGGCAATTTAGAATATTGGAAAAAAAAAAAAAAAAGCATGTTTACCTTGGGATCCACATTTATTATTTGCCCATCACTTTTGTTCTTGAAGAGCACTCCAATGGCACTTTCAGCAATCACTTCGTAATTTGGGCTGGAACATGAAGTGCTGACATCTCTATCCCAGTTGTAAAAGCTGTGAAAATGTGGAACAGAAATGCTGTACTTTTAATGGATGTCATTCTTCCAGCTTAAAGGGCAGATTCTGACCTCCTTACTCATGCTGAGTAGTTCCTGATTCCACAACAGCCCCTCTGAAAGCCAGACAGATTCACTCAGGAGCAGAAGTCTACTAAATACTAGAAAACCTGTCCAAAAGTGGCCCTACATACCTGATCTCTGGCAAAGCAAACCTGAGGCCCCTTGCTGTCTCCTCATCCATTCAGTACTAGTGTTACTAAAAGGCTCAGAGCCGGGGTTATAACTAGTGGGAAGTGGTAGTGCTTGAGAACTACTACTGGGAAGGAAACAGCTCTGGAGACCACCTGAAAGTGCTTCCCAGACCACCACAGATCTGCAAACCAGATGTGGGAACTGTCGGTTTCCCCTTCGGATCTCAATGGAATGGTCTTGCTGCCTTACTGGTTTCCTTTCTCTTGTTTTTAATAAAATTCTGGTAGGAAAGAGTTGTTGGAAGTTTCTTCGTGGGCCAGATACAGCAGGAGGGGCTGCAGTCCAGCTCCCCAAGGAAAATCCCAGCTCCCTGGAGATATGCAGGTGTCATCCTGGGATTAATTCTGGAGCAAATCATCCCATCAGGCTGACTGGGCTCACTTATTCCCAAGGTGTCCAGCACTAAATAAAAGTCAAAAGGAACCAGACTGCCATGTCAAATACAAACTGGACTCAGGAGGGTTTCAGCAGTTTATCCATCCTTCTCCCTTTCTCCACCCTCTCTCCATTCTCCAGCACCCAGAGGTGCTGGAATTCCCCAAACCTTCTCAAGCTTTTTGGTTTTTGACTTCTCAAAACTTTTCATCACCTGGGCTTGGTACCAGCCACACAGGCAGCCAACAGGCTGTCATTTCCAGGCTCATGGTCAGCATTTGTTTAGAAACCTTTCCAGCTCAGAGCTTCCTACAAGTGACAGGATGCTGAGGCACTGCTCCCTGTACCCCTGCTGGGATACTCACTGGAGCCCTGAGGTGGCCCATGGCTGCTGATCAGATGAGCCTTTCTTTTGCAAAAGGAGGAGGAGATGGGAGAAACTCAGGAAATGAGTCTGTGTGTGAGGAGGTTTCTGGAAATGTAGACAATACCTTTTCATTTTCCCCCTTTCTGCAAGGATGCTCCACTCCAACCAGTTTCTAAAGCACCTTGGTTTCTTCTTCACGTTGAAAGGGTACAAAACAATAGGCCTCACTGTTGCTTACACTGAACCTTTTTTACAACCTGAACACCTCTGGTAGGAATGAAGCAACGTATAATGACTCAGAGATGAGTTTACAAAGCCCTCACAGAATCCATCCTGGCCACTGGAGCTTCCAGCTTTGGATCACGACCAGATAATGTAAAATGGTGTTCTCAGCACCAAGAGACATCCCTGAGCAAGTGACTCAGTGCAACTAGAAGCTGCCTCTGGAGTTCTGTGCAGCCTCATGCTTAAATGCCTGCAGAAAAAGACTGGAAGGTGGGTGGACACAATTCATCCAGCTTAGCAGTAAGAACTGCTTTGCTTTTATATGCTAATTGGTTGAAATTGTCATCTATAGAGTTATTTAATGCTCTATGTTTACCCACCTTCGGTGGTAAACAGCAGATTTTTTCAATCTCTGTTTAAATCTAAGGATAAGAATATGCACAGACTTATATACAAATCAAAGATGCAGATTCTTCTAACTCTCTACTCAGTTACTTTTCCCTGTCCCCCAGGACACAACCTGGTTAACTAGTCCCAATTGCACAAACAGAGATCATCTCTGCTGGAAAACCACTACCAGATGAGGAAGGAATTGCTCTACATTAACTTGGGGTGGGGGATGTATGTCTCTTTGCAAAGACTTCCCCCACATTCATTCAAAAGAAATTAAACATCTGAAGGCAGAAATAGTTCATTAGCTGTTGGATAATAACTTCCTGCCTTTTGCCAAACTTCCAGCCCCACTCCTACCCACACTTCCCCATTTAAGCCAGCAAGGACAAGACCAGAGCTCAGGACAGCCCTTCTGCTGGGAATTCAATGTCTAGTGCAATTCAATGTCTAGTGGAAACAGCTTTGTGACAGACTCTTTTTTTTTTCTTTCCCTCCAGGACAAATTAGTTCCCATCATATGCTTAGATGTGAGGTACAAACCCAAGCCCACCAGCACAACCAAGTGAATCTCTCTGAACCCTGCACTGAGGGCTGAGAGGATGGGGCAGCATCCTGTGCTGCCTTTCCCACAGTAAGCCCTCAGCTTCATGGCATTCCCATGCTCTCCAAAACAAAGAGCAGCAGACAGCAAGATGGTGGCTGCTTTGAGGAAGCCTGGGTGTCTGGCCATGGAAGATTTCCCCTTTGCTCTTGTTCTCTGAAAACTGGTGACATCAAGAGATTCAATAAGCCTCACACCAGGTCAGCAGGTAGGGTAAGAAGGGCTGCTGCAGCTGCAGGACAGTGTTGCTGGGAGGACAAAGTAATATATGCTAGCAGGGAAGATTCCTAAGGCAGGAAGTCAGGAGAACATTTTGACCAGAGAAGCAAGAGGTTGGAGATCTCCGGAGCAGCCTCTCCCCTGATAGTTACTGTCAAGATGAAACTTGCTCACTGTAATCACCACGTTCTTCCACCAGGCTGCTGCAAGAAGAAGGGGCTGGAAATCAGGACCTTGGGATTCCCATCTCACCCGTGGTTCTTTCTCTAGAATAAATACTAAACTAAACTTCAGCACTAAGTGCTATGTAGGAGTTCCTGTAATCCCATAAAACTTGTTGTCATTAGCAGAATTCCACGTGGCTTTAAATACCTACATTTCCTGAGATTAAAACATGCTATCAGATTAACATGATCAAATGCTAACGAGAAATATTTCAGTGTACATTTTTTTTTTCTTCTATCAGTATTTGATTTGCTTGCCATGTGTTTTCAACCAAATGTAACAGTTTCCAGCACGGCATTGAAGTATGTGGAGTATGAGAGACTCAGCAGTGCCCACAGTCCAGCTGCAAGAAGAATGCATCGTGGTTATTTCAAAATGGTTTTTGTTAATCTTTATATTTTTGTTTAGACAATGAGCTGCTGGTGCAGTGGTGTGTAACAGGCAGGCTTGGGAATACAGACTAAAACATGTGAGGCGGGTGTTGGGTTGGGTTTTTTTTCCATTTATGAGCTAATTCTGGTCAGAGCAGATTTTCATTCTGCAGGCAGGCAGATGCCCTCCCATTACACAGGACTCTGAAGACAGGTTTTTGTATCCTTAAAAGTTATCCTTTAGGTACCAAGATGGCAGCACATCAAACCACATGGTGCTTACAGAATGTCTTTCATCCAAAAAATCTCTGGGTCCTTTTGTAAACACGCATTAAAACCACTTGACATTCTTGTGAGATGTAAGGCAGGCTTTATTACAGCTCAAAAGTGGCTGAGGGAGCCAGGGCACAGAAAAATGTTGGAGATTTTTCCCTAGGATATGTGGGTTGATGGCAGAGCAGCAGTGTCTCCCAGTTGCTGGCTCCAGCCAGGCGATGGGATGCTTTGGTTGGAGACCCTACGGCTGCTCACCTTCAGGGTGCTGGACAATCATTTTCCTAGAGGTAAATCCTTGGCAAAGTTACAACTTGGATTTGGATGCTCCAGTATGAGATTGTCCTCCTTTTGCCCTTATTCTGCAGAGGGAAATGAGCTGTGATGGAAGAACTTCTTCCCCAGCTTATAGAAATGCCACGGTGCCTCAGGCCTGGACAGACACTGAACAAACTGAGGGTTGCCCATCACCATCTGACCAAAAGAAAAGGTGAGCATCTGCAGGGGAAGAGCTTTGTTATCCCAAGTTACTATTTACTATTTAAATCAGCAAAATCAGGGAGACAGAACATAGTGTAAAGGTGTTTATGTCTGTGTTGGCCCCACCTTTGATCCCATGGGGTTAGATTATCCTACCCTATTCTTTTTTCCCCTCAGGATAAGGATTGGTTCCTTGATTCAGTTCTCTACTTTTCTCTTCCCACCCACACATACATAAAGATAAAACCATTCCCTATAGCAGACTGGGACTTCAGTCAAAAACTAATTATAAACAATGATGGCTCAACAGCTTTTTTCAGTTTGTGGTTCTGTGAATTTGCGATGCAAAGTATCTGGCCTCAGCCCCCCTCCTGGTAATTTACAGACCAGCCTGCTTTAGTTGGGCAGCAGAAGGGTGCAGACAAGGGAGACAGGGACATGCAGGACAACAAAGGAGAGCAGAACCAGGAATAAAAAGAAGTAGAAGCTCCTTTATCCTGGTGTTCTCTCTCTTTCTGCCCTCCGGTAGGAGCGCACTGGTAATCACTCTAATGGGGGGAAACTGGCATTCTGCATCTGCTTGCCAAACATGACAAAGTAGCAAGCAACCTACTCAGATGGGATTTGGCCCCTCAGTCCTTTCGCAGCTTTCTGGTCCAAAGGAGGTCAGTGCTTTGGTGGGACATGATACAATGGAATACAGGACATATGCCTGACTCCACACCAACCACTGCTCCGTAAGAAGATGCAAGTCACAGACCTCTGGTTAAACAAGAACAAGCTACTTTTTCCACCTAAGAAAAGATGCTGAGTTTGGCTTTTCTTTATCATCTTGAAGCAGCTTGGATTGAAATAATTCATTGCCAGGATAGGCTGAGATATGTTACTAGCACTTCAGAAAATGAAGGCAATTTCATTTGTCCACAGCCACCATGCACAGTGGCTATTTTGGTGACCTTTTCCTGCTTACTTGTGTGATATTGCCACTACTGAATTAAAATCTGGTTGCATTTAGCTAAACTCACATGGCTGATTACCTTGCAAACTGGTTGTGAGTCGGGAGTGAAGTCAAATGGACTTTTGTATAAAATGGCTAGAAATGAGCATCTGGTCCATAGGACTAATCCATGTCATTGTTTCCTAGAGGCAGGGGAAGAGCACAGCACTGCCTGCTGCACAAGCAGTTGCAAAGCAGGAGTCACCACAGTACACAG